AATTTATTTTTACTAAAAATCAAAGCATGGGCGTGAATAGATGAACTGCCCAGAACGTGTCCAACCCAGAAACTGTCTCAACAGCATATGCTGTTGGGCCCTAACAGCCAAAGTTAACCCGGTCCCCAACTAGTTCTATATGTATAAAGAAAAATTGTCCACGTCACCATGCATCTCCTTTCTCTAAACCCCCCTTCGTACATTCTCCTTACTTCTCTCTCCCATCACCTTCCCACCACTTCCAATTTGCGAAGTCAGCTCTCTCTCCAATCCACCTATTCATTCACATTAGTAATGGGCATGCATGAGCATTGTGACATACAGGTAATTTGAAACCTACATTAGTAAGATATTAATAAGAGATATAAGCATTGTTAGAGAGAGAGGAAAAGATAGGGAATTTGAAACGTTCACTTGCAATTAAATCAAGGAGAGAAAAAGATATTCCATTGCATACCATGTCTCACTACCATCTAGATCTGTACAACCCTCAAAAGGAATGAGAAAAAGAAGATAGAGAGAGGAAAAAGGTAGATAGAAAAAGAGAATTACCTAGAAATTAAATCAAGTAGATTAATTAGCAAACCTAAGAGGATGATTTTCTCTATAGCACCCAAAATAAATTGAAGACAAATGACTCCAAACCCTAGAAACAAAACAACAAATAATCAATTTTGATAACAATAAAATTGTAAAAACATAGCAATTAAACAAATGACAAGAAACTTGAAGAAAAAAGATAAATGGGAGGAGCCATCCATCCGNCCCTTCTGAACCTAGGTATGCTTCCAAGTTCCAATCCCCATTGCAGAAGTAACAGGAGTTGCAGAAATCCTTCATTTTTTGTCTCAACAATTGATCTGCAACCAACTGACGCCAATAAGCTAACACTTATTAACGTTATTCTCCACGATCAAGCATTCTTCCTTCTCATCTTCACTAAAGGTAGGTGGTTGCAATCGATTTTGAGCCTTGAAGGTTTTTTTTTCAGCCTCTTTCCTGCTACAGGTACCACATTTCTTAAGACCCTCTCAAATTCCTTTCAGCAATTCTACAGGTACCACATTTCCATCCATAATTACATTTCTTCTAATTAAGACACTCTCTGTTATTTATCAGAGTATCTTTGATGCTCATTTCATGACAAAAGCTTGGAGAATCATTGAAGAACCAATTTCTTAATTTCTAATATTATATCATACCTGTAGATTTTGTATGAATATTGTCCTTCGCAATTTCTTGGACCTAACTTTTTGTTATTATCATGTTCTATATCAAACAATTGTTGATAATAACATTTATTTTTAGCAGGTTTTCCCATTGGAAAACAGATTTGGTGGCATCCTACGCTTGAAGGAAATTTTAGAATAGCACCTAGGGTCATGTTCTTCATCTTAGTTAACAAGGAAAGAAGAAAAACAATGCAATGGAAATTGTATTTTTGTACATGTCAACTATAAATACTTGGTGGTGCTGCTCAAACTGAGGTAGTGCACGAATCGAGGATGGCAATCAAATAGTCTTCGCTAGCAGGCCAGGGCCGAGATTCAAGGATGAGGCCGCACTTCAAGATCTGCGATCAATGAAGAAGTCAGAGGCCCGAGGAATTACCCCCGGGTAAGTACTCTGACGCTCAAATCAGTAGGAGGTGGTGGATGGTCAGGCTAAGCTATAGGGATGCTGGTCCAGGCTAATTAGCAGTGTGGGTGTTAGAAGTCAAAAGTCCCTTACCTCGAGCATGGAGTACATTTTTATAGCCAGAGGGTCCGTATCCTAATTGGAGTAGGTTTTCAGGGAAATCGGGGCAGAGTTCCCTGCCGCGGTTACAGGGGGCAGAGTCCTACTCCTCGGCGGAGTTGTCTTCCCATCCCTATCCATTAGGTGGGCTTATCCGTGGGGTGTAGCTGACATGGTTGGCGGGATCATGGCAATGCCGTAGCCCGGCTGGACTATGCCGACGTGGCTGAGCTGTGATAGATGACCAGGGGCCTCATGGCCAGTTCAACCATGTCCCCAACACCACTCCCCCAGTTCCGAAGCCGAGGGATGAGGTTTCCTAGGTTCGTTGCCCAGCTGAGGAACTTCCGAGCATGCATATTGTCGCACCGTGTTGGTCGTTGCTGAGGAGTCCTCCGATCGTCGGCTGCAGAACTTAAATGGGAACCGAAATTTCAGTTCTTGAACCACTCCCCCAATTCTGCTGCCGAGGAGGGGGAGTGCTCGGCCAGACCACTGCACGGCCTTGTGGTCGTGAGTTGCCTAGTCCGAGGATTCGAGCGGCCTAGCTAAGGATTTGAGTGGCCTAGCTGAGGATCCGTGTCGATGGTTGGACTGGTACGGCGGGTCTCTCCGCGAAGGTTGGATCGGTACAGTAGTTGAATCGGCATAATTAATGGGTGCAACCGCTGCCTGCCGAGGGTGCCGCTTTGGTTTTCAAGGCTTCCTGTCATATGTTATTGGTCACGTCGGTTGGCCTTCCGAGGCGTTGTCAGGGGTGCTTCATCTGCACCATTGATCTCTCCTCAGCCTGTGCCCCTTATAGTTATAAAAGGGAAGAGGGGGGAGCCCCCTTTCCCTATCCTCAGTATTGCTTGCGAGAGTGTTTTACATCCACTGCTTGGCGGATTCGTTGGTCACACAGTTCGGTAGATAGCTTGGTGGCGTTTGTTCTTCAGCTCCACAAACTGTCTGGTATGTCCTCTTCATCTCGTCGGTCCTCTTCATCATCTGGGTCCTCTAGTAGTTCTGGTTCCAGCTCTTCTCACAACTCGACCTACGAGCCTAAGCTGAGAGACTTCGTGGCTGCCGAAATTGAGGAAGCCGAGGTTGGTCCCTCTGGGATGGAGACGGAGCTTCCTCTCTGGGCAGGTCGCCGGACCGGTACCACGCCCGACGTCTTGACGGCCAGGGATATGGCTCGGATCCAAGCTACATATGTCATTCCCGCAGAATACCAAATGAGGTGTCCGCTACCCGAGGAGATGGCCATTGATGCTCAGCCCGGTGAGCTGTGTGTTTATGAGCACAACTTGGAGGCTAGGCTGAGGTTCCCGTTGAGCGAGGGGTTCGCTAAGGTGTTAAACTGGTACAGGGTGTTTCCGATGCAGCTGATGTCGAACCCCTTTAGGTTTTTGCTCGGCCTTATGTCCTATTGTGTCGTCTGCGATATCGAACTAACCCTAGGGATATTCGGCCCCCAGGGGTCTGTCAATGAATCTTTATCCTTATAATATATGGTTTTTTCATTCGAGCCAAACTTGAGCTTGCATTTTCAGTTCGAATTGAGCAATCCTTGTAATACTATACCGAGCTGAACTCAAATACCTAAATATTCGGCTTGGCTCGGCTCGGCTCAAATCCATCCCTAGTCTACCCGCACATCCAACTCCAAAATACACAACCCAAATAGGTGAAATGAACTCAGTGTTGTGTAGACATATAATACTGGAAAGACTTTGACCGTTCAAAACTCCATGAATTTTGAGGAAAACCCACCCGATTGATTACCACTTTTATGATACCAGTCGAATTCTATAATAATATCCTTTCAAGGTTCATCTCTTAATTCTAAAGAAGAAAAAGAAGAAATTTGAAGTCATTGATGAATCAAAAACCAAAAACCCAGCGTTTACAAGTAACCTTCCGGTTGGTGATACTTGGTGGCATTTTACCGGCGGGTGATGATGGTTGGTCATACTTCAGGAGGTGTGTCAAAATGAAATATGGTTGAAACTTGGAAGATAAGGACTGAGGGAAATTAACAGGAACCTCTCCCCCACAGTAGATGAACTTTGACCTTGTCAGTTTGACAGTATCTTCTTTTATCCATCAGCTCACGATTATAAATTTGATCAAAGAAGCAGTTTGGTTATGTATACTCAGTGGTTGTACTAATTGCCTTGAGAAAAAAGGAAAGAAAAAAGTCTGTGCAGCACCTTGCCTTTTAAGGGTAGCATAGGCTAAAACACACGAATCCAGATACATCTTCACAAAATTTGTCCTCACACTAACACTTCCCCTTGAGTGAGTTCGGCTTCGGTCAGTGCTACGTCGGTTTGAACAGTCTTTACAGCCTTACATTGAGAATATTTTCGTACTTACATACTTTATTTCATGCAGAAATCTAATGCAAAGTTGCAAAAGGCTGTTCGAACAGTGTAAGCACCCGTCTGCACTGACCAAAGCCAAATTCTCCAAGTCCGGATCTGCTACTCACACCGACCTCAAAGGCACATCCCACCATGTATCAGGAACATCTCCCATATTTTTGTGTAATTATTCATGAGAGATGTTCCCAATGCATGGTGGGATATGTTGTGAGTTCGGTGTGAAGTGCAATCTAGGAGTAAATCCCAATTCCTTCTACTGTATTGAAAACATCTTCCCATGAATAAAAACATAAAAGGATATATAAATGTTCCCATTGCACAGCTGCAATTGTTGGGAGGACAGTGTGAAGACAAATTTTGTGGATGGAATCCAATCTCAAAAGAAAGCTTGACCTCACTTTCGAGACTACGGCTGCGATTGATCCATATTGACTGATACAGGATAAATACAAGGTTCAAAAAATCACTATGCATCGGTCGCACCCCAATACACCCCTACAGAGCGTGTATCGGAGTTTTGACCAGTTCAAGGGGTGGAGGAACGTTAAACCAACCCCCTGAACCAGATTTTTAAAAAGTAAAAATAAAATAAAAAACAATACCAATACGCCCATACCGACGTATCAGACGTATCAATATTTAGAACCTTTATTAGATATGGTCGGTCCAATGCAAATAATATGATACAGGGCATATCATATTAATTTTTTTTTTTTTTTTTATTTCTTTTGAAGGATTACACAACGGGGGCAACCCATACCCCAACCCAGGTGCAGGCGGGAATCAATCCCAAGTCTCCACTACGACTGGTTGGCACCTTGCAAAGTTTACAGGTTTACAATAATGTTCTTCATCCTCAAGTTGTCATTGGTAAATTCCACTACCACCAAAGAATTTAAATTGGCAATAGCCTCTTTGATAATTAATTGTTTTATACTATCAATAACAAAGATTGGTACATGGTTGTTACTAACAGATTGTGATTTCACAATGAAAATAATACATGGGCATGGCTTGAAATTCCTGATGGGCAACCTCATACGGTCGAAAAGATTAAAAGGGCATATCTATAAATTGGCACACGAGAAACTTCCCTTCTTTTCCTTTTTACTCAGCACGCATGGCCCCTGTGAATTAAATTCCCAATCCAGCAAAGGAAATAAAAGGCAAATGCATGTTTCTTCATGCCAACAGCAATGCCTCTTCTCTGGGTGCCCATCAACATAGCCATACCTTGTTAGCATCTCACTGAAACCATTCAGCACTGCCTATTCCAATCAGTGGGCATCCATGGGTGTACATCTCTGCTCCAACCCTGCTCAAATGAATGAATTATTTCATGAGTTATTCATTACCATCATCACAATAGCTGGAGCAACAACATGATCCCAATAGCTATAGTCAATGCATAGATGACTTATCCATAAAATAAAAAGGAATTTTGCAAAGCAATTTGACTTAAATAATGTTATTTCAGCTTTGCCAGCTTGGATTCTTGGATTCAAAGCTTTCGGATTTAAGCAATCATAAATTGAATAAGGTAATAATACTTGGGTTGATGTTGCATTTCAGCAGCACCATTAGCCAAAAAAAATTATAATATATCATATTTTAAATGAAATAAAATAAGAATAGTTGAAACACCAGTGACCAACCCATGGAGCAGTTGTTTTAAAAGCACAAGGCGCAAAAAAAGCGCAAGGGCCAATTTGCACCTGAGGCGCAAGGCACAAGGCGAGGCGTGTGCCTTTTTAAGCAAAGCAAAATTACAAAAAAAATAAGCTAAAAAATAAAAAAATATATCAGAAAATTCAAAAAAAACGCCAAAAAAATATAAAAATTCAAAGAATATTAAACATAATGTTAATAAAAAATATAAACTTAAATTTTAAAATAAATGTTTTAAAAAACCTATTATCTAAAATTAAAATACATAAACATAAAGCATATTCAAATGAAAATTTAAAAATAAAAGCAAACATATAAAGCATTTTCAAGTATGTAAAACCCACAATCTCTTTTTTTCCTTGATTGCATTGCTTCAAATAGCTAATGCAATATAAAATATATTGCACTCTTGACTCCATGAGTCGCCTTTGTACCATGCCCCTCAAGGCAAGCCCGAATAAATCTATGTTAGGGTCTGAAATTCTTATTTCTCACATAAAAAATAATGATTTTATAACTTTCATTGCCTTTTAAGAAGATTTTTTATTGCAATGAATGAATGAACATTCGCAAATAGGGGGTTCTCAGAGCTTTAGGCGCGCCTCACCTGTGCGCCTAGGCGCACCTTTTAAATCACTGCCATGGAGTGGCATCTTGTTTTCATGATTATGAAGGGCATAACAAGAAGTTCTAGAGAAAATCCATTCCTAGGATTGGCTGTTAGCATAGTTTTCGAGGCATCTAGGCGATTCTGGGCGACACTGGGGCGCCTAGGCATTGCCTAGGCAATAAAAATTTTATAGTATGAAAAACTGACTTTTGGCTAGTTTCCTAGTTTATATACCATTCAGCATGTATGTTAATGGAAAAATAGCAATTCTCTTTATTAAGAACATTAAATTTCCTCTAAAATGTGGCAAATCATCACATCTAAAAGATAAAAATCTTTTACATATTAATTTCATTATTTTCAAAAATAATACTACTATAATAAGTATTTAATAGAGCAAATTCATATTAATTAGCAGCTAAAGAAGGTTATTAACTTTATATGATAAATATTCAAGATAGAAAAAAGAACTTTATTATTCTACTGTTTTTTTTATGAATACTTTATTATTCTATTGTTTCTTTCCCCTTTCTTTTCTTTTCTTTCTTTCTTTCTTTTTCTCTTCTCAAAACCCTTTGATCTTTTAAATTTCAATAGTAAACATCAAAACAAAATAGAATTGATATATATAGCATATAATAAAATGTATTAACACATACATTAATAAGATACAGCAATATAAATGATATTATAAAAGGCGCCTGCCTTGTCATTTTTGTCGCCTAGGCGGGCGCCTAGTTGCTAAAAGTCAAGGCATTTGGGCGAAGCAGGGCGCCTAAGCGACGCCTTGACAACTATGGCTGTTAGCCCAGACCAAAGACTTATTACTGATGCAGTTTGTGAATGAACAACCACCTTGTTTCAGGATCTATTTTGCATCTGGATTTAAAATAAAGCATGACAATGATTAGATAACATGCAGTACATTTCTATTTTAAGAAATATGGTCTGTCTGTTTTTTTTCTTGAAGGTAAAGTATTGTATTGCAAAAAGAAACCAAATACATCATCCCATGTACAATGAGGACCTGTACATTGGGAATTTACAAAGGATCTGACAAATCAGATAAAGAAAGGACTAGCTTGCAAAAAAGGAATAAGCTGAACTCTAGTGAAAGCTCTTTGTACACCTAACCAGGAACAAAGAAAACCTATAACTTTGTTCTTGACTGAAACTACACCATTGGAAAGATTGTCAACAATCCGGCTGTTCCTTTCCTTCCAAAGGGCCCAAAGGATAGCAGCTGGAAAGATCATCCAAAGCAGCTTGCCTCTTACATTTAGACCCTCAAGGGTCCACCCCTGAAGTAGCTGAAGGGCTGAAGCACATGGGCAAGAAGAGACACCAAAACAGGAGAGAGCCATTTCCCAAAGCTGCTGAGAGAAGTTACAATGAATAAAAATGGGATTGGAAGATTCAGGAGCTTCAGTGCAGAAAGGACAGCAGTAACTAGGAAGCTGCATCCCCCTTCTGAGTAGCCGATCTGCGGTTTAGGCACTTATCAAGTGCTGCAGTCCAAACCAGGAATGCTGCTTGTGAAGGAGCATTGGACTTCCAGATTATATTCCAAGGGAAGTCTCCTTCCTCCTCGGCCACAAGATTGTTGTAGAAAGACTTAGAGGAGAAAGTGCCAGAAGCCTCCCAAGCCCAAATTCTTTCATCATCTGACTGTGGGTTGGGCTTGAAACTGTGAATCTACTTAGAAGATCTGTTAGTGTTCCCAATCATTAAGGTTTCTTCTGAAGGTAGGGCTCCATATAATTTCACCATTCCTCAAGTCAAAACAGTTTTCCACTAACAATCTTGTGGCCAAAGAGAGAGGGGAACCTTTCATTTAAAGCAGTGTCCCCACATCATTTGTCATACCAGAACTTGAGGAGATTACCCTTGCCAACCTTGCATTTAAATCCTTTCAGGAAATCAGGGAAGACAGAGACGGCATTTCTCCACAAGGCACAACCCCTTGGGAGAAGGCCAGGACCCAAGTTCCACCCTAGATTTGTGAGCCCATACTTATCTACAATGATTCTTCTCTAGAGATTATTCCTCTGCTGAATCTCCAACACCATTTGCCAAGAAGAGCTTTGTTAACAACTTTAAGATTTTTGATTCCTAAACCACCAGTTCTCCTTAATTTGCACACAGAATTCCACCTTACCAAATTAAACTTGAACTATTCCTCCACCCAGCCCATAAAAAGAGCCTCAATTTCTTCTCTAGAAGCTTTGCAACACTGGCAGGAATCTGAAATAAGGATAGGTAATAATAGATTGGCAGTGAAGACAAGACACTCTTAATTAGAGTAAGCTTACCTCCCTTTGATAAATATTTAGAGTTCCACATTGCCAATTTTCTGTCAAATCTGTCAATAACCGGATCCCAGATCCTCTTAGAACTGCATTTGTCTCCCAAGGGAAGACCAAGGTAGGGGTGGGCAGATTTCCAGTTTTACAGCCCAGGACACTAGCCATACTGGGATCAGGAAGACCTTCCTCTGTCTTCAACAGTTTCACTCTTAGATAAGTTAATTTTGAGGCCTGAAATTGCTTCAAACCATCTGAGAATGTAACCCAAACAGACCAGCTGATCCGAAGAGTAGTCACACAAGAAGACCGTCATCAACAGATTGAAGTAGAGAGATCTGAGTACCTCTTTCACTGACTTTAAACCCATGAAGGAGACCACTATTTGTTGCCCTACAAGTGAGCTTACTTAAGGCTTCCATAATTATTGAAAAGGAAGGGAGACAAAGGGCTTGCTTTAGACCTCTTGACTTTTAAACCTACCACAGGAAACACCATTGAGAAGGACCGAGAAAGTGGGAGTGGTTACACAAACCTTGATTCAGTTTTGCCACTTGGAGCTGAAATTCATTCTTGTGAGAATATAGTTCAGGAAACTCCAACTAACATGGTCAAAAGCCTTTTCAATGTCCACTTTGAGAATGAGCCCCTTTACCCTCCCTTCTACACAAGTCAATCAACTCATTAGCAATAAGGGCCCCATCAAGAATCTGTTCCCTTCTACAAACGCTCCTTGGGAGGGTGAAATGATCTTACCCATCATTCTCTTCAGCCTTGAAGCTAAAACTTTTGCTAGTATCTTGTAAACACTTCCTAAGAGGCTGATGGGCCTATAATCCTTCAACTCCAAGGCTCCTTCCTTCTTAAGAACCAGGGTGATAAAAGTGGAGTTAAGACACCTTTCTAGGGAAGCATTTGCATGAAGTTCTGTGAAAACCTTCAGCAGGTCTTGCTTGATGAACTCCAACCCAGCTTATTGAACTTCAAAGTAAAACCATCCGGGCCTGGGGCTTTGTCTCCTTCCATTTTAAAGATAGCCTCCCTGGTTTCTTCCTCTGAAAATGGTTTTTCTAAAACTGCAGCCTCTTCTTCAGAGAATCTGTTAATATCCAGTCCATCCATATCCAGTCTAGGCCTTTTTTTTCCACCTTTCTCTGTACAGTTCTGAATAGAAACCCCAATGGCATTTTTAATTCTACTGTCCTCTTCCAACACCTCCCCATTTACTTTAAGAGAATTAATGTTGTCTATACGCCTTGTAGCATTAGCCATTTTATGGAAGAAACCAGTATTGTTGTCACCTTCTTTCAACCAAAGATTACTGGACCGCTGCCTCCATTTAACCTCCTCTTGAACTGAAAGTTTGTCAAAATCACTCAATGGGCTTCTCTCCTCTAAATCCAGGTCAACAATTTTCTGAAGATACTCAGTTTATTTGGCCTCAACCCCTTTAAACATTCTTTATTCCACACTTTAATTTTCTCTTTCAAATCCTTCAGTTTCAGATGGAACACATGGCTAGCTGAACCAGAGAAATTCATGTTTTCCCACCACCCCTGGATCATTTTCATAAAGCCATCTTTTAACCACATATGCTCAAATCTGAAAGGGCCCCGCAGAGGAGACAGCCCCCCACTGTCAAGAAGAAGTGGGGTGTGGTGTGACAAGGGTCTAGGGAGGGCTGACAGAAATAGGTTGGGAAAACTGTCCTTCCAGTCGGGGGGAGGAAAGGAAACAATCCAATTTTGCTAGAGTAGGTGCAGCTTGGTTATTTGTCCAAGTAAAGTTAGCACCAGCCAAAGGCAAGTCCAGTAATCCCCACCTTTGAACAAAACTTGCAAAGCTTCTCATTCCTGTATCTTCTGGCCTGCCCATTTTTTCTCCAAGGCAAATCTGATCGTATTGAAGTCCCCTCCGATGCACCAAGGAATGGAGGAATCTCCTCTGAGTGCATTTAATTTGTTCCAAAATCTAGGTCTGACACCAACATCCATAGGACCATAAACTGAAGTAAATAAGCCCACAAAATCCCCAATTAACATCTTAAATTCCAAAGAAACTGAGAACTCCCCTATCCAGCTATTAGTTACTTCAATAGTATCACTGCTCCAAATCACTAGAATTCCACCTCTTGTGCCTATAGCTAGGAGAGCAAGCCAATCACAATTCCTTTGACACCAAATACTTCTAACTACGGAAAAATCCACCTGTTGAAGTTTTGATTCTTGTAAACACAGAACATCTGGCTGCCACTTATTCAAAAAGGAGCAGATGAGCATTGTCCTTCTTCCCGAGTTTAGACCCCTAACATTCCAAGAAATAATCTTTAGGTTTGACATAGAGATGAGAAGAAGTTATCTTTGTCTCCAAGATCCTGTAGCTCTGCTACCAGAATCCCCTGCCCTGTCATTGAGTCCCCAGGCCAAACGGAAGAGTTCCCTGTTAGTTCTCCTCCCCTTCCTTTTTCCTCAATGAACCTCTTTTCAATTTCCAACAACAGGTCCACTGTTTCCCTTTCCGTTCCCTTAAAAGAAGCCCCCAGAAACTGCTCAAAAGAAAGGAACTTAGAGAGGACCCAGGGAGAGAGGCTCTCATCCAGGGGGTTTGAGACAACCTTGGAAATAGGTTCACTTGCCTCCAAATCGAAGTCTGGTCGCACCACTGCTAGTGGGGATGCTTCAGGCGAGGAGACATCATCAAGATGCTCTGGTAAAGCTGTTGTCGATGCCAAAGCCATACCCATCGGTGACAAAGGGGAAAACGATGACTGGGGGTGGGTTTGCACCCATAACTACCTCTCCTGAGGACCGCTGGAGGGAGCACAAGGCTCCAAACTTGGGGTGACTTCATTCTGTTGACCTCCTCAAATGGCAGGTGGTTCAGCCTGGTTTAGGGAACCACCATCAGCCTGATCAGAAAGTGGGTTGGTCGTCTCCTGGACCACCATGTCTGGGGTGGACTTTGGGCTTAGGGGAACTGAAGTGGAAGCCCGTGGACCCAAGAAGGAGCTGCCCTAAGGGTTGATGCGGCTTGGGCCACGACAAACACGACGCTTCTTATGCTTGCAAGATTTCATTTGCCAGGCATCCAGCTGGCTGGCCACGTGTTGTTTGATTTTCAACTTCAAGATGCATTCAAAATTTGAATGTCAAGGCTTTTGGACTTTTCCGCTGACAGAGCAGCCTGACATAAGTTGAGATCGGACTGTTCTCTAGGGCAGTCCTCATCGGCTTCAATCTGAACTACTGGGTGTGGGGGGGTAGTTCCCCTGATCACCGGAGGGTGAGTTTCTCCAGCAAGAGTGGACCTTCCACCGGCCTTTTCCCCTTCTGACTTCTTTTCTTTCGAGTGTTGAAGCCACCAACTCCCCAATATCTTGGCCTTTCAACATCATCGAGATCCGAACGTCTTCTGCCTCTACCATCTCAGCCAAGACTGTTGCACCCCTCTAAACTATGTCCGCTACTGAAGGAGGCGGGCCTTGCCATCAAGCTTTTACCCGTATCCACTCCACTGTTTTTGGCAGAGAAAGAGTTATCCAGCTCTTCGAAGCCTCCACATAGGCCTCCTATTTTCTTCACCACTTTGAACCTCAGACCTCCCCTAGACGGTACCTTCATTCTCTTTCGCACATGGGAAAATCGGTCACAATGTGCATGCACATTGACTGGACAGTATCCCTGGCTTCTATTTGCAGCCTTGCTCAGTCGTACCTTGAGCAAGTGTTAGGAAAGCAGAGATAGTTAATATGGTCTGTCATTTCTCCCTTTTATTAAAGAGCTTTTGAACATCTTTTGTAAACAAAGAATAGTCTCTGAGAACTGAATCGAGTAGAAAATACAAACCCCCCAAAAGATTGAATCAGTTTCTTCTTAATCAAGTTCCTAACGGGGAAAAATGATTTTTCAGGTAAATAAATAGGAATTGATTGACCATCTCTTATCCATAGTTGCTGACTTGCTGCTGTGGGAGCAAAATTGAGGAATAACATGGTGTTTTCTCTCTTATTTCATGAAGAAGAAAAGTTTTCTTTATTTCTAATTTGCTACTTTTGTATCATAGTAATGCAGATTTTCCACATGATCTTAGATGGCAGTCGCTCCTTCTAGATTGCACCCAAGTCTCAATGAAATTCAAACTGATGAGTCAACCCACAAACTGAAGAATGTTAATTCAGTTCAACTGTTTTGTGGCATTTTCTGATTGATAACTGTTTTATGACATTGCCCTGAATTAAATTTGTGATGGTGGAGAATAATATAGAATATGCTATCCAACATTAAATAAGCAAACAGCTCAAATTAGAAAACAATCTCCAGAACAAAGTAGGCAGTGGGGGGAACATACTTGTGTATCTCCGTGAAGAACCGTTGCCATTCATAGATATGGGGACATGCCTTCTTTCTTGACCCAAAGATAAAATCTCTTGCATTCTTTCAGGCCAGTCTGAATTTAGTCTCCTAGCAAAGTCTTCTACTTCCCTGCACTCATTGAGGATATCATACAATTAAACATAAACAATGAGTTGTGTGCAGTCAAAAAAGACTTCCGAACATAATCTAGAAGTTTAGAAACAATGAAAATCTAATATCTGGGAGCCACCTTCCATATAATATAATTATATTTTTCATAGATACTAGATATATGGAATGGTACATAAAGTTCAAGAGACAACCATTAGTTGCTAACATGAAGTTAAATATGTGAATCAAGTAATTCTTTTGTTTTTTATCAAGCTTTGAATAAGGTAATACCATAGATTTTATTCTTCCAATAAAATATCTGTACCTGCCTTGTTTATACAAAAGACAATAAGAAATAAAATATTTACCTCAAAATATCATAAAAATTTCAAGATGTTTTTCAATTTTGTGAGGAAAAAAATAATAAATTGCTAGAAACTTTGAACTTCACAACTTTCTGAATGACAAAAAAACTAAGAGCAATGAAAAAAGGTTTCCTTAACAGGTGAGTTGGGATATTTCCCTAGAAAACCTCCACTTTTCACCCGCGTAAGAGATGACACAGTCAATTCAGGCAGTCCATAGGAGATTCTAGATTGCCAATACTTCTCCAAATTAAAAGATGTGTTGGTTTTGTAGTCTGTACACCACATTTATTGGACTTTTCCCTAATGTAAATCTGTAGAAAGCTTCACTTCAAGTTTTTCTAAAGCCTACTAGAAAGGCTTAATTAGCCCATCACATGGTGGCAGGGAATGTTGGGCTGTAACTTGTTCAATGTAGATAATAGGGCAGAGAGAACAAATAGCTTCCAGGCCACATCCTGTCCTGCCTAACCTAAGACTCCTGATCGTCTAGCTCATCTCTAAACTACAAGTAACTCATTCGGCAAAACCATGCCTAGTCTTCATTGGTGACAAGGTTACTTATCAGCAAGTTTGGTTGGAAGGACATATAATCTCCTTAGGTTTGTGCCTCCACATTATTGAGAAGAAGAGGTATTTGGAGGTAGTCTAAGAAAATACACTAGCATCTCCTTTTTCACTGTCTCCCAAACAGGAAAAAGCAAAGAAACAGGAGTTATCAGTTATCACTTCTCATCTTTGTTTTATTTCGGAATATAAATTTGCATATTGTCACATTATTTTTTTAATTCCTTTGTCATAGGTGGCGTCTCACCTCATTCAGCTCCACACCTTCTCATGGTACTAGTGTCTCAGACTCTAAAACCCCTTGCGCTTAATTTGTACTTGTCACAGTTAAGACACTGAACCAAGCACATCCTCAAGAATATCCAAATATTCAGATATATAATTCATCTCACCTATCAAGTTCTTCTTTCATTGCAGGGTCAAGCTCATCATCAATATCACCATCATCAAACTCAACTTTAGGGCCAAGGCTATCAACAGCAACATCTTGAACTTTTGATGTTTTACTGGAGCTGGATTCAATAATATTGCCAGCTTCACCATTGTTGCATTCAGAAGAGAGATATTCCGGCTCCTACAAGATTTAAAATTGATCAACTAGTAAATAATTTCAATGAAATGCATGTGCCATCACCAAGCAAATCTCATAACAAAAATCAAAAGATAGAATCACTAACCTTCTTAGAGATTTTGCTTACGTTGTTCAAAGCTGTGCCTTTTGCTTGATCTTTTCTTCTGCGGTTCTTCTTTTTATGCTTTGCAGTCTTACCCCCCTTTGAATCTGTTCATAACAGATTTTCACTTAATCCATTAGACTAAGTTTTAAACAAGACATACTCTTAGACATTCCACTTGCATAAGAAATAATTGGAAGGAGATGGTACAAAATAATCATTCTGCAGTAACCAAGATGAACAAGTATATAATATTCCACAAGAGCATGAAAATAGTGGGAACATGAATGTCCATGAATGCGCCTGTGACACACCTGTTTTTCAGGCACAGAGTTTATGACTAAAGTAAAATCTTCTTTCAGTCCTTCCCTCTATAACCCTTTCTTATTGATTTAACAACAGGAATTACACAACAGCCACATAAAATTTCAAAACAATCTCAGGATGTCCAAGGAAATAAGATCCAACCTGCCAGAGTTACAAATCCAAGAATAAAACACGAGTTTGTGTCTGCAATGGTTAAGACACTACATGCAATTGTTGTAGCATTTTTAAACCAATGCAGTAAAATTCAAGTCAACTTATGGCATGAAGTGGGTTTTCACCTCAATAGGTGAAGCTTTGGACTCAAACATATAAGAATTGCACTCCTTCCAGATTGCCCTGCAGATAGCAAGGTGCACAAGATTCCAAAGAATGTGACCTCTCCGGCTATGGCCCAATGACCTCCAAGGAGAAAGCAACCCACCCAAGTTGTCATGCAACACCCAATGATTTCTAAACAGCTGTAGAAAGTGATGCCACAACCTGGTAGCCACTTGGCAATGAATAAAAATCTGACTTGTCTACCAGGCATGCCACACAGACCACAGCAGTCATTCAAGACCAGGCCTCAATGATATAAATTCTCTCTTGTAAGGATCTTGTTCCAGGCTTCCACCCAAATAAGGAATTTGACCTTTGGAAGGGCCACTGATTTCCAAACCCAGACCCATCCAACTGAGGCCAGTCCTTCCTCCACCAATTGGCTATAGCAAGATTTGATTGAGACGATACCAGAACTATTGCCAGTCCAGATTCTGCAATCAGCCATAGAAGATTAAAGCTGTGCTTCACTTAGGTGTCCAGCAAACTCAGAAAGACCTCCACCTCTCAATCATTCAGATTTCACTTGAATTGTGGAGACTCCAGGAGAGACCAGATACCACGTTCTCAGAGCAGTCTCGAACTATGGCCTCCTTGTTGGTGGAAATCAAGAACATGGAAACTGCACACAAAAGGTGTCCTGCAGTCCTGCCCACATCAGGCATCCCTCCAAAAGTAGGCATTTGCCCCATTTCCAGTGGCAATTTTAATGAATCTGTTGATGTCTTTACTGACTGACATGATACCCTTCCACAGACTAGCACCAAAAGATCCAGATGGAGGGAGAGTGTCCCAGTACAGAGGGGTCCTGCCATGCTTGTCACCAATTAATCTGCCATAGCTGCCATAATTGTTGTCATGAAGAATTGTGAACCTGACACAACTTCCAATTAAGAAACAATCTTCTAACCCTCTCAGAAACTGTTTTGGCTCCCAGGCACTCTATCATAGTTGTCAACTAGGCGCTTTTCAAGCACCTTGCTCAAATGCCAGGAAAAAATAGTGTTAGGCGCACACCCAGGGAATTAGGTGCACCCCTAGGAGACTAGGTGGACACCTAGACACAAATGTAAAATATACAATATTTAAAACAAATAAAAAATATACAATAGTTTATTGGTTGGTTTTTATTTTTTATAATAGAACCTGTTGCATGTTATCATGTTTTTTGTTGTGAGCAAGTAAAAGAAAACTGTCTTCAAGGGTTTCACTTTGGCAAGAGAACCGAACAGAGGACGAGGAGAGAGCAAGAGCCCTCTATTGCTCCCCACACAGTCCCCTAATTCAAGGTGAGGAGAGAGCAAGTATCAAATAAAAAATATTTTTTATATATAATTTTTTATTTTTATAAAACATTTTTTCTCAAATCGAGCTCGAGCCGAGCCAAACTCAAGCTTACGAGTTTTTGACTCGAGCCGAGCTCGATCTCAAGGTTCTAGCTCGAGCCTTGTACTATTCGGCTTGGCTCGAATCCACCCCTACTACAGTCCTAATCTCGAAAGGGGAGCAAATCGCCATAGGCACACATCGGCCTGTGAGTAGCAGCCAACGCCACTCTCTACGAAAGAGGCTTGGTCATCAACAACCCTAACCCCTATTCCTCCAACCAAACTCTTCTTACCACGTTTATCATACCTAGCGATCACCCAAACCCAATTCTCCTCCCTTCTCTTTCCAGCTTCCGACACAAAAGACCTTCCAAATGTCCTGCACCTTTTAAATCTTGATCTGTTGGGGCCTAAGATAGACCTCTTGTCCTTTTTACCTTTCCTAAACCGACTATCAAAGCAGCTGATAATCAAAACCTTAGCTTCATTCCAGCCTTCTTCTAGGCTCAACGTCTTCAGATGAGCTGACTTGATGAGGTAGGACGACATCTTCCTCTGAAATCGAACTACCTGTGGCTTCCTTTTGAATCTTCTCTTAAATCTTCCCTTTTGAATTCCCAATAGACTTTTGTTGATGCAGACCCCACCTATCTTAAGTTCCTTTTGAAAATTGACTTCTGAAACCTTACCCTTAAACTCATATCCCTTTGATGTTGCTCCAACACTACCCTTAGTCAATAGAAAATCTCTGCTAACCATGTGTCCCACATCCATTTTGATCCACATTCATACTCGAAATGGAGCAAATAGCCTTATTGGGACCAACCTTTGTATTAAGACCTCCTGCCAAGTGTCCCTTCTCAGATAACGTACCTTGTTTTTTTTATCAATAACTTTGAAAGAATTTCACTAATTAAAATGCTTTAAGATACAAGAAGTTGCAAAAGAAATCAGCTTAGTAAGCTGACCCAGAACAGAATTACAAATGTGCCCAAAACATATAGGTTCTTTGAACCCCTTGCTTTGCTAAGCTATCTGCCAAACCATTGGCAGATCTCCTAACGCATCCCCCCTGGATTGAAATCATTCTCCAACTGCCATGTCACCCCTTCCCCTTTCTGCAACCATTTTATCACAATTTTTGAGTCTCCCTCGATGATCAGTCTATTAATCCCCAACTCTTTAGCCTTCTCAACCCCATATGCTACAGCTAGAAACTCTGCCCTTGCCACATCACCCTCCTCTACAGGACCAGAGTACAGAGCAACAATGAATCCATTTTCATCTCAAATGCCCCCCCCCCCAATACCTGAAGGGCCTGGGTTACCCACACAACTCCCATCAAAGTTCAGCTTCTTCCAACCATCTGTTGGAGGGGACCAAGTCTCAAAAAACTATCGTCTCGTAGATGATGAAGCAGCAATAAGTCCCCAAACCCTGAAAAAGTCTTTGACCTTTAAAATCTGAAAACAACTTCAAGCTTTTTACCCAATGTGCCACCCTCAATGTTATTGTTTCAACTAAAGCTTCCTTGCATTTTTCTTAACTTTCAAATATTCTATCATTTCTTTCCTCCCAAATGGTCCAAAGTATTGTTGCTCTAGTACACCTCCAAATAATCCTTCCCCTCCTTGTCTTACCACTGATACCATTAGGGTTGACTAAACCTTCCACCCTGTCAGAGAGGACCACTTGCACCCAAAAAGGGAAGTAAACCAATACCAAATAAAACTGACAAAAGGGCAGTCTCACATCCCTTCTTCTCCTTCCCCCAAAATTCCTTTTTTTGCCCCCCACCTCTCTAGAGTCTCCCCTTTCTCCTCTCTATGGCTCTCCAACTCCCTGACTTTTCAGCTCCCAACATCTTCTTCCTCCTGACTCCTAGAGACCTGCAGTTGCAACTCCCCCTTCTCTTCTTCACGACGGACATATCCTGACAATGATTCGGCATAACCACTATCTCCTCCTCAAGCCATCAAAGCGGTATACAGCCTTCGACCATCACTCCCCTATGAAATTAAGCATCAAACTCAACGGAACCAAGTGAATGTCCTGAACTTCAACCAGGATTCTTGCTGCAACCAAGTTCTTCATCTTGAATGTGCAAGGATTCATCACAACCTTAACACTCCATGACATTCTATAAGTTTTTATCTTGTTAGAGAAACAACATTAATAACATGGCATTACTTGGTTATTGGCTCTAACAACATGATCCAATAAACAGAAAAGTAAATTAATCAACATTTCTTCCAGAATTGAAGTTTCTTTCACATATAAAGTTGCTTAGCAAAACAACAAACTCTTGAGAAGTTAAATAGTAATATGCAATAAAGTCGAATAGATTTAGGAAGTATGAAAAAAGAAATGAACAAAGGAAAAGAAATAAAATCATACAAGGTAGAACGAAAACATTACTCGTGAATACCTCCAACTCCTCCATTAATAAATGACAGGAGGTCATCAACTGAGCGTTCATCCACACGCTCCTCTTCAACTTCAACATTCTGAAAAGATGGAAAACACATTTGATGCTAACTCGAGTCTAACATGCATACCATCTTATATGCATGAAGAAAAATACAAAAGGAAAGATGTGGAATCACCTTCAACTTTTCTCTCTCTCTTAATTCTTTCCTTTTTCTTGCATAAAGTCGATTTAATAGCCTGATCCGTGGATCATCAGCTGTGTTTCTTAAAGGCTCCAATTTCTCCTCCTGGAATCAATCATATCTGCATGAGAAATAATAGAACCAGTCCCAAACCGATTATTAATCGGGACAAAATCATAGATGCAGAACCATCCCGGTTAATAATCAGGTCTATCGGGTCCAGACCCGATTATACTGAAAACAATATTTATTTATTTAAATAATGACTTAAAATTTAAATTTTGATATCACAGTTTAACTAATATTGTCTTATTTATTATATATCAAATTTACCATCTCAAACTTAAAATATGATAAAAATTATAAGAAATCAAGAAAATGTTATATGTATTTAATCAAATAATCAGTTCCGGGTGTGAATCAGTTCAGGACAGACAAGAACTGGAACCAACCCAATTATTAAACGGAACAAAATCATGGAATCAGAACCATTGTAATCGATCCAATTGGTTTGGGTCCATCGGGTAGACCCGACCCATTGACAGCCCTACCAGAAACTAAAATATATGGCATAGACAGAGACAAGATGCAAGAACATGTTAAGGGAAAAAAGAGAGAAATTTCTTTCAATAAACAAACACCTCAGTAAGATCATCAGGCAAATGGAATGTCTCACGTATCTCCTCAGGAGATTTCCCTTCAATCATTCGAGCAAGTGCACGGCTGGTGAGATCAACTAAAGGCTTCAATTGGAGGCTGTCAGCAGCAGATGTCAACTCACATAACCTTTTTGTATCTATCCGAATAAACTTCTCATCAAAAGATTTCCGCTCCTAGGCAAAATAGTGCACATTGGTTCAGCCACTGCTAGATTATCCGGTGATGAAGACGGTAATTGAAACTATAATATGTTTTAAACAATACTTCAGAAAAAAAAAATTGCATTCTTTATCATGGTTTTAAGTATCCAGCTTTCATCTGTTCTTGATCAACTGACAACAGGATGGAACCAGAGGAGAAAGAAAGAGCACTCAAAATTCCAAAAAGAAAGAAAGGAGTAGCTAATATTCATAAAGAGCCAGAAACATGTCAGACCTTATTGGAGCGACCTGGTACTTGATGAAACCGGCAATAATCAAGTATTAAGCTCAAAATAGATGGATTAACTCTTTGTGGAAGTGAAATAGCATAGTTCTTAGAAGACCCCATGCCTGTCTGAAGAATTTCTCGACAAATCATGGGGCAAAACATTGCAACCTCTTCTTCTACTTGCTGTATTGAGCCATCAGCGGTTTGGAGCCAGATGTAAGACTTCATGACCTAACGAACCATAACATGGAAGACAGAGTTTCAGTTGAAATTATTAAGGAAAGGAAGCAGCTAATAGGTTCAGTACGAGATCGGCTTCTATCAAGGCAAACCTGTGCCCACACACCATTCTAACAGGCTTTTGCAACCTTGCATTGAGAATATCTCCCCATGAAATAAAGTACACTAGTACGGAGATATTGTCAATGCATGGCAGTAAAGGCTGCTGGAATGGGCTTTGCCCTGACTGAAGCCGAACTCGTTCAGTACACGACCAAAATCCAGCAGGTGCTCAAGTCAAACCAATAAAATATAACATAAGAAATCATAAAGTTTGATAAGCTCAAGCATACCCAAGCTTTTACAAGTATGCACAGACAAAGACAAAAACAAGAAAAAAATGCTTGCAATTAAATAAGGGAAAAGTATCCTTCCAATGGTTTGAATCCACTTCCTTGAATTAAAGGTAAAATGCTATCAAAAATAACAACATTAGCATTCTTAAAACCTGCATATGTGACATACCTCAGGTTTAATTATCACCATTTCACATTCTGACATTTGATGATAACCTCCAGTGCAACACAAGGGTAACTAAAGAGATTTGGAAGAAGTACAATTTTGCACTTTAGCTTAAAGACTTGTGTGTGTCAAAGCAAATGAAAGCTTTTCACTGTTCAAAAGGCCATGATTAAGTGGATATAAACACTTTTGCAATGCTAACCCAACTAGCATATTGTTCAGTGTTACTAACACAGATATCAGCATTTCTTCTCCACAGAGCTTCTTTAAATCCCGTCAATCTACCTATAGGTAAAACCCAAAACATCATGAACATAACTTAACAAGACATCAAATTCAGATCATGCAATATAGCATATTAAGTTTTCATACTCATCAAACTGTAGTCTGCCTATGTAAACTACAAATAGAAAAAGAACGGAGAATCATTTTTTTCAAATGTTCTAGGTCTTAAAACCAATAGAAATACCCAAAATTGATACAAGTAAATATGTCTTCTAAGAAACTAAGACAAGGTGGAAGGAAAATAAACAGTGAAAAAAATAAAATGAACTCAAATAAAACAATAAATAGTATCCATACTAAAAACAATGTATGGGGAAAAAAACTCAAAACCACAAAGCTCCTAATAGTTGAAATAGCACGTTCCAAAGTCCAAACAGAACGAAAAAAATATAACATGATACAAAATGAAAAGACCACCATCCAGCAATTTTCCAATATAAAAACATCATCTTACAGTAACCAATGCATAAAAACATTGCAAATTTGAGCAAGAACCAAGGCAACAAATCAAACCAGGATACTCTTCAAGTTGTACTTCACTTGAAATAATAACCATGGAGCATAACAAGAAATCATAGATGTAAACAACAACCCTAAAGAAACCCAGTTCTCAACAAAAGACAAATGATCATACCAATACAGGAAACAATGGCAAATTTTATCTATAACAAAGACAACATTTGCAAGCAAATGCTCGGTAGTATAGCAGACAATTGCCCAGTACAAATTAATCTTAGATGAATCAAAATTTAAACAAACGGGCAAAAACTATTCTTCCAATGATCGATTAGTTCACCATCACCATCATCATCATCATCTAATCCTAAAAATAAAAATAAAATAAAGCGACAAACTAAGAAAACGTCACTGAAGTAATAATAAGAACTAAACCCTAATCCCCTCCCGTCATCAAAGAGTCCTCCACGTACACTGAAATTCAACAAAGAAAAGCGAACATCTCAAAGAGAAAAAATAAAAAACCAGTCAATCTTCCAGAAAATTGCGACTCAACCCGGAAAAAAGGAGAATCAATTCTAGATCAAACCAGAATTAAGAAACACCAATCCATGTCTAAGCTTGCATTGCAGTATGCTAAAGGATCCCAGAAAAACATTAAAGAGGTGGGAAAAACCTTTGGAGATGAAATGAAGTCTTGTGTATCTGATAGAGGAGGCGAAAATGCGGTTGGCAGATGAAAAAGAAAGCGATAGGAGATTGGAGGGAGCTTTGAATTCACAGAGATTTGGCGGTTGAGACAAACAAGACAACGGATAATGAGAGAGAGAGGGTGTGAAGAGGGAGATCTACGTGATGGGGGACCGGGTTTTTTTTTTCCTCCTTTTTTTCATTATTTTAGGGTTTCTGATTTCTCAACCATTTTCGATTTGGGCCGCTGCCTGCGTCGCTATCCTGCACACGTGAACTGACCAAAAACGTACCACACGTAAAACCCGGTTAGAGAGTATCCGAGACGAGACCGGATCTGCTCCTCACATTTGGCGCCTCACACGCACATCCTATCATGTATTGAGAACATCTCCCATTATTATTCATAGGAGATGTTCCCAATGCATGGTGGATGTGCCTGTGAGGAGCAAATCCCGTCGCATCCAAGACCAAACCTGCTTCTCACACATCGCGCCTCAAACCAATTTCACAGGCACGTGATGGGATCTGCTCCTCACACAAGGACGCCTCACAAGCACATCCTACTGTGCATAGGGATGGCAATTTTTTCGTTTCCCTGATCCTCGTGGGGATCCACCTCGAATATGGTAGGGATAGGGATGATTTTCCCTTGCGGGGACAGGGATGGGGAAATTTTCATCTCCGTTAGCGTAGATGGGGTGGGGGCTACAGGGACCCCGATATCCGCCTCATGGGATCCCCACTAATATATATGTATATATGTATGCATATGTTATATATGTATATATGTATATATGTATACATACATCTATATATTAATATTTTAAAATTTTTGTTGAATATATTTGAATCTTTTCTAATAGGATTGTAAATTTTAATTATTTTATTTTATTTTTTAAAATAAAATTGAAAACAAAAACAAAATGGCTAATATTATAAAAACTCATGAAGAATGGGAATCCCCATGGGGACAGAGATGGAGATAACCTTATCATCGTTAGTAGGGATGGGAACGGGGACAGGGATGGGGAGAGGTATTGATTTCCTTATTATTTTAACAAGGTATTGATCTAGACTATTCTCATCACTCAATGCATTATTTGCTGATTTGATGGAGAAATTTCCACTTGGGCATATACCCAGGTTCTTTTATCCTCTATTTCCATTGCAGGGATATGAATGCTCTTAATTCAATCAATAATTTGCTGGTGGACGTAAGTGGCAAGCTTTGCAAGATCCCACTTTCTTGTAATTCGATCAATAAAATCCTTGATTTTTAAATTCAAATTATTTATTTCTATTTATTATTATCCATTATCTCCATAATTGATTTATTTTCTAAGTAATTATCTTTCTTGAAATTACAGGATTCCCCATTGCCAATATTCCACATTAGGCCTTTCTTAATATGAACTTTTTGTTGGTTAATTTTCTCCAGGTGCATGAGCATGTTCTTGGGGGCTTGCGATCCATGAAGTCTCTATTAACCATTTGAACCAATAAATTCTTTTCATCATTCATTATTCTATAGTCCATTTTCATCAAATTGGCTTGGTTACTTGGGTTAGTTTTCTAATCCCTAATCCTCCACCATTTTTGGCCAAACAAATGTTTCTCTAGCTTGTGAAAGCAAAAGTTTTAGGCCCCGTTTGGTTCGTGGGAATAGGGGTCTGAATCAGAATTGGAATGGACTATTCTGATTCCAACTATTTGGTTGGGCAGAATTGGAATCCCATTCCCATTCGTGCTGGAATGGCATTCCCCATTTAAGGGAATGGCCATTCCTTACCCCTCTGGAATGAAATTCCATTCCTACTTATTCTAATTCCCATTCCCCATTCCTGTCTAAACCAAATAGACTTAGACCATTTCAATTCTAATTCCGAAGGATTCCCATTCCGATTCCAACTATGAACCAAATGGGCCCTTATTGTTTTGCTTTGTTCCCCATAAGAAACTTTTTTGAACCTTGTCCAATTCCTTTGTGGTTTCTTTTGGGATATGAAGCATACTCATATGAAACTGGGCCATATTACCCACTACTGCTTTTAGGAGGGTTATTCTTCCTCCAAGAGATAAAGTTTTACTTTTCCACCCACTTAGCTTGCTTTTAATTTTTTTTTCCCTTCACTCCTAGATCACTTTTTCACCCATCTAGCTTACAAATAGTGACGTCGTGCTCTTCCATGTCGTACTTCATCCCGGATAACTTGGCCTTTAGCTCGGCAATCTCTATCTTCACCTACTCGAACTCCGCCTCCTGTGCCTCATAAAGGCACCGTAGCGTACAAAGGCGATCGACCAAGCTGACGACCTAGCAAGCAGACTACAAAAATAATTAATCATCAGTACAAGTGAAAGAAGCAATCGAACAACCAAAGTAAGCAACTAGAGGAAAAAGGAAAGGACTTATCACCACTATCTGACGAAGAGCCGTGCTTTCTAGAGAACCGCTGGTCAAACCCCCGATCTCCTGCCTGATGATAGGCATCATCAAACCTTGGACAAGCTGCTCAAGGACCCCCTCTGTTTCAAGCCCGTCCCCTGGATGGACACTCCACTACGGCATGTATACATCCATAGAACCCTCTGGTGCACTCCGCAGATGGTCGAATTGAAGCATCATCTCCTCTAGGTCTACCACCACTCCTTCTTTCGGAAGCCTCGGCCTCTTTGTTTGCCAAGGTGTGCACTCCGCCGACCTCGACTGCGGCTCGACGACCCGTGGTCGTGCACCTTGAGTCCTGCCTGACCGTGTCCTCTCTACCGCGACCCTCATACGCGGAGCCATTTCTTTGAAGCTAGCCATTCCAGTACCCGCACAAGTCAACGACAAATCAGTACCATGCAAAGACCTCGAAAGCAAAAAAGACAGTTTAGTATGACCTATAGACCGGACTGGTATCGCTCGGCCATGCCGCTCATCAGCTCGACAAGGATCGACATCGAGAACGACGTGTACTCTATCACGTATATCCTCTCTATTTGCCTAATAGATGCCAACTCCTCCTCGGTTGGCGCATTCACCTTGGTCCTCGGCTTAAGAAGCTCAGTAGGAAACGACCAACCTCTAGGACAGCGCACGAAGTAGAACCTCTCCTTCCAATGCTTTATCGAAGATGGAGCCCTGACAAGCACCTTGTTATGCTGCCAAGCCGAGAAGTAATAGTAGCCCTACTGGTGTTTTTTCAGTTGTAAAAAATAAATGAACATCGATAGAGTGACCTCTAGACTGTGGACTGAGTAGTAACATAAAAGGCTAACCAGGTACCTAAAGGAGTTTGGCATAAAAGGCTAACATCGATAGACTGTGGACACATAACCACCGCGGTAATACCTTCGCTCAAAGGAAACCTCAACCCGGCCATCAGGATATACTCATAGACATAGAGCTTGCCTGGCTGAGCCGAGGTGGCTTGGTCACTAGCACTCGGGCACCTCATCTCATACTCCTCAGGAATATAATACAAGGCCCTAATTCAGGCTAGATCCTCGAGATTTAGACAGCACAAAGTAGACCCAAAGCGGCTGCTGAGCCACAGAGGGACATGAGGCCCCTCCTCACACACTACCTCATCCTCAGCTTCATTAGCCTTGGCCCCCCAGACTACGGCCTCTTCCAGCTCCACGGTCTCAACCTCAAGTCCGTCAACCTTAGCCCCCTAGCCATGAACCTCACGGACCGTGAGCGCAGTAGCCTCTACGAGAGACCCCCGCTCGGACTCGTTACTGAAACTGAAAGAAGAGGAAGAAGAACAAGAAGAGTCAAAGGACGAGGAAGAGGACATCTTACCTTAGTGAAGATTAGCACCGTGGAAAAATAAAGCACCAGCCAAGGACTACTTCTCTCCGAGCTCCATAGAATACTCTCCACAAATGACAGTGAAAATGCTCTACACCCCACTTTTATAGGACTCCCAGCAACCTAGATCAAGGCAGATCAATGGCAATGATTCCACGCCGCCCTCTGACAACTTGGGAAGACAACACGACACCACTGCTCTCCGCACACGCATAGTCTCTGGGAAATGAAACGATGCCCCTACTGATCCGTCTCAAAATGGTACGGGCGTCAAACCGGACGATTCACTCGACTAACTGGCTTCACCTCAAGCCACTCATTCTAGAAAGCGTGCTCAACCGAAATTCAAGTTTCTCAGTTGAGAACCATAGAGCTCTTCCACGCCACATTGTGGCTAAGCACTACACTCCTCAACTTTGGAATTGGGGGAGTGGTGTTTGGTTTATGGTTGAGCTGGCCCCGTGTGCCACGTGATGGCCTCTGTGGCCGTCTTATCTCCTCAGCCACATTGACACCATGTAGGAAGGATAAATGCGACCAAGAAGAGGAATCCCATATGGATAAGAAAGACAACTCCGTCGGGGAAGAGCACTTATCCCAAAGACTTCGGCGGATAACCTCATCCCAACAACCCCGGAAGCCTCATCCGAATTGGACACGGATCTTCATCTATAAATAGGTAATCCCTACTCAAAGTTAGAGACTTTTAACTCTTCAGACTTCATACCATCACTCTGCTTCTACTCGGGCCAGCATTGTTCTCAACAACTCGGCCCGATCACCCATCTCTCTCTCATTACTAACTTGAGCATCGGAGTGCATACCTGGGAAGCAACTCCTCAGGCCTCTGATCCTCTTTCTTGATTTCAGATCTTGATCTTGATGCGTGGCTTCGTCCTTCCACCTCATCTTCACTAGTTGGCAGGACTATATGAATGCGATCTTGATTCAGAATACCTCAGATTGGACAAAATCAGATTGGTACTATCTATAGGAAATGTACAAAAGTCATTCCCAAGTTTTCTCCCGCACAATCAAGAATCATGCCAAGAAACACACTCTTTCCCATAATAAACAAATTGATATATTAACAAGAGTTTCAATATTACACTTCTTTAAAACTTTAAAAATGTTGTCAATCCATCTGCCAAAGGCAATATCTTTTGACTTAGAGTGAGGTCTTAAACCCACTCCTTCCCATAATTGTGTGCACCTTACTTTGTCAAAAAGAGGAAAGCATGCATTATAATTTCCACTTAGAAAATCTACCATAGATAGGTGAATTAATAATATTCCTCTTAAAAGATATTGCTTGTAGAGAGATTGGGTCAAATGGGTCCTAGTGCTTAATTTTTGTTATTATTGTTTCTTACTTGTGTTTGGTTGATAATAGACCTCATTCTTATGGACCTGTTAATCTTTTTTTTTAT